TATATATATATATATAGTTCAACGGTGAAAAAGAATAATAACCTACCTAACGGTTCCTTAAACGTCAAGAAAGAATGGCCTTTCTTTTTTGTTACACTTCAATTAGATGAGAGTTACAAAGTGTCAACAAATCCATAATTCAAGCTTAAGATCGATAAAACAAGGGCAAAATATTAACAAAGGAAAGATTAACACCGAGAATAAGACCATTTGTTCCGCAATAGTAAGCGTGGGGAAACAAAGTATTAGTCATCTAATAGGCATTGTCAGCATTATTCTCAAGCGTATATAATAGTATCTACACACATTTGTGGCAACACATTTATGATCAAAACCAAACAAGCTAACACCAAGCGATTGCTTACATTAGAAAGTAAGATTTGGAAATATTTCGTTATTTCGAAATAAAACAAAGAAACACACACATGTTAAAACATTATCGATCAAGACAACAACAACAGAGGAATGGAGAATACCTGACGTTGATGAGGTCGGCGGGGGTACCAACGAAACCTCCCATGGCACCCGACACTACGGCCGTGCCAACCTTCTGGTAGAACGGCATCACACTCCCATCCTTAGTCAGCTGTTTCTTTATCGTCTCGTATATAGCAAACCGGGTAGTGGAGTACGTCAACTGACAAAATTAACAAAACATTGGTTAGTTGTTATTACAGAGGTATCACATAAAACAAAGTAATAGGCAGTGTGTAGTCTTGTTGATTTATATAGATAATATTATATTATAATCCATGTACAACATATATACAAATACGAATAGATAAGAACTGGCAACGTCTATTATTTCCTTTTCTTTCATACCATACATGAAAATGAATACTTAATAAATACATACAAGCTTTTGTCATATTTACTGCAGATAATCTTTATTTTGCGTGATTGTTATTTTTGCATAAATTTGCATTAACAACAGATCTTGTATAGAAGTGTGACGTGAATGGTTGTTAATACATAACAACGTAAATTCGACATTGATGTCCTCGCGAATAATAGGTATGTAAAGGTCATTTCGCAAAAATGAATACACTTGAAATACAATACAGATAATCATTAGTTTGACCTTAATACTCTTATATGGATTATATGACCAAATGGTAGAAATGTTTCCTGTTTTTACTTCCTGCATCGACTGACTAAACGTTTGAATAAGTTTTCCTTTACTTAATCTTCCGGTGATTAACTTAATCTACAGTAGCACATGTGTCGTTATCCCTGTCATGCTGTCGTGTCTGTTCATAAAGGCTTTGGAATATTTTACAATAGTTGAATATCTTATGGTTTCATTTTATCCACGTCAATACTGTTATTTGCTCATTGCTGAGCGCCTTACCTGCCTACAGATGGAGGCGGATAGTCCGTTATATATCCCCAGAACTCCGTCATTCTTAATGATACGGCCGACTAGAGTCGTGACCTTGACCTTCTCTGTCTGTTGTGTCTGTAGGTGAACCTGTTAATAAGAAACATAACACTAATCAACCGGTAATTTCATTGAATTTCTATTTTTTT